AGCGGATTCATCATCAGAGAAATGAGCAGGAAACAGTAGCAGAAACGGGTCCTGCTCATGTCTCTGATGATGAGTCCGCGACGGATGTTGAAACGTCAGGCGAATAAACATATTGTCCCAGCGATCGAGTCGTCTTCTTCTCAATTACTTCCTGGGACTCGCATGTTCGCTTGTCGAGATCATTGTGCCAGGGAAGGGGGAAGAAGAGGAGAGCAGGTAGATTTTGAGCATTGGTCAGGGGTCGGGTACGCAGAGTGAAAATTACTGTCATTCGCATGGATTGAAGGTCTTTCACTAGGGGTTAGGTGGAGATATGCGATCGCCACCTGGCGTCGGCGTCGGACACGGAAGTGAGCTTGCTTCTATTAGCACTTTCTGACAATGCAGCCCTGGATTCGTTAGCCGTATAGACACTGCATCAGCTGTTGCTAGCACCTCTTGGCGTAGGCCCTTGAAGAAGTTGGCTAGTTTCCGGTGGAGAAGCTGAAAGACTTCATTAATATCGACTCGGTTATTCCTATAGGCAAGGTATACAAGAATAGAAATCGGGATCGATCTAGCTTTCTTAGTGCATGTATGCTTACCTTTTATCCACTCTAAAATTATAGTATTTGCACATATACACTCAAATTTACTTTACAGGGGCGATGTGGATCCTGTTGGGCCTTCTCTGCAACCGGTGCCATTGAGGGTGCAGTTCAGATAAAGACCCAGAAATTACTCAGCCTCTCAGAACAACAACTTGTCGACTGCAGTTGGGAGCAGGGTAATCACGGTTGCAACGGTGGTCGTGTGAATCAGGCTTTTGCCTACGTACGAGACTATGGAATCGAATCCGAAGAGAAATATAACTACACGGCAAAGGTAAGTCTCGCGTTATTAGTAACGCGACTTTATAAGTTATTTATGATGTGGATGTTTATGGCTGAACATGGACTCCACTAATGTGAGTGTAAAGGGAACTTCCTTTTGCCTATCCTCGTTTCGTTTGCAGCGCCAAGTTGATCGTGCCTCTTCCAGGGTCTTTTCGCAAATGAAATGTACCTTTGACTCTGTTTTGCTGTATTTACGGTTGCATCACTTTAAACGATTTTATTTGTAAGACAGGAGCGTATAGCCACCGGTGCATGAAAAACATCCTAAATAATAAGACCCCGAGGGAGGATCGCTATTAAGATGTCTAACAGGTACTGATCGCTAGTGCAAGAAAGTTAAGGCTACAGAATGGCAACGAATTAATCAGTCCGCAGAAGTAATCAAGAACGGTAATGCCCGTCTTATTTAACACAGATAGGAAATACTTTATATATATGAAATGGATCCGACAAAGCAAAAGGAGACCGGAATGGCCATTTCTGGCTTGCTAGCCATCATCAGCCAGGCATACCCAAGCTCAAGGGTTGGAACCCCCGAGATTCGAACCGGGGACCTTTGGTTATTGAGTTTAATACTCTACCACGGCACCACCGG